AAAGGTTGTATCATGCTGGTGGTAATAGAGAATTGGTTGTATAGGACGCCAATATTCAATAAATGTTCATTTTGGCCTTTTTTAAGCAAACATATTGATACTCACAATTTTCGACGGAAAACGAACCGGAACTTGATTTACTTAACAAGCACCATACTATAAAATGATGCTAGATGGTCTTCAAAGTGATAACAAGATGACAAATCATCTTTATTTTGAGTAATTAAGCAATTTACTTCTGTTTACCATCATATTTACGATGCAGCATTGATGGAGCTGTGAAATGAAATGAATATATCTTTTGAAAGTTCACCTGAAAAAGTCAAAGATGCACATCAGTCTGATCGTAAAAACGTTTTCTTCTTCAATTCGAATGTTATATTGGAAGGATTTCACGTAGGCTTGATGAAAATTATAATTTAATGCTAATTTTCACGAATTTTATATGCAGTCTGTCAACATTATCATCATCATGCAGTGGCGACATCTGCGTTGAGCTTTTGCGGCAATCTTCCAATGTGAAAAATAACATTGACTCTCTCGCTATTTCAAAACTACCCAAATTTGGGTACAATCCACCCAGATCGGTCAAAACTGAACCTACCCAAAAATGGGTAAACTGTTATGGGAGTGACAAGTTGACAAATCAGTACCAACATTTCAAAAGGGTGAAACGGACAAATGTAAACAAATTGAGTTTTTTATAGAAATGGACACACTAATAAAAATAACCATAAAAGAGAGCTTAACGACGTGTTTGGGGTATCATCCAGACCATTTGTGAGATAGTTTACCCATCCGGGATACAGTTCGTTTATGGTATTTGTTTATTAGGGCAGCAAGTGATGCAATATTATGAACAATTTCATAAAATTTCACAAAAAAACTTGTTTTGTCACCCTAAATTAACATTTAAAAAAAGGCGTAACTAACTTTTGTAGTTTAGTATAGTGAAGTAAATTTCACCCCTCGGTATGTTCGCCATCAACGAGGGCGAAACTGCATCCAGGTTTGAATTGTGGCCTCATTTTTGATTTCCGTAGTTTTGATGGTTTTCATGCGAATATTGCAGTATTTTTTTATGTATAACATAGCCTCGTAGCCATAGCGTTTACAACGGTGAAAAAAATCTCCCAAGGCACTCCACCTACGTACATCTAGTTGTAGTTTCTAAAATGCATTATTCTCAAATGAATATTACAAGATTGCCCACAACTCAAATAACCTTAAGATTGGAAACCCCAGAACCCGATTAAGATATGTTGTTTTCGCGGTTCCAAATTAAAGATCATGAATCGTCGCATACGGAAAACCAGCTGCTGGGTCAATTCGTTGCTATTGACGTACAATAGATCTAGCTGATTTCTGATGGATGAAACAAACATAAAACCAACGCAATCAGTATCATTTCCTTGATCCTTTGTATGGCACCACTTAGAAGCAATTTCTTACTGAAAAGTACCCACAGTGGCCTCCGTTTGATCTAGCATGTTCAGTTTCTATGATTTTAGCGCGTTCATTACCGCTGGGAGATAAAATTAAAACTTTGACAATTCCATCAGACATGATGATGATGATTTTTGTTTTTGTTTGTTTTAAAAACCATTCAAATTTTGAATTAAATTAAATTAAAGAAAATGAAAGAAATCCAAGATATAAAATTTGATAGTTTGTCAAACAAAAGGTACAAAAATGAAAGGGCGTAATCAAAATTGATGAATATAAAGAGCAAAATCTAATTTTGAGGATTTTTAACGTAAAAAACACAAAATAAAAATCTAAACTTCTATGAACTGATTAACAAGGGTCAACTCAGGTTGAACGGTGCAAATAATAGACCTGTACTGCTTACTGATTTAAATTAAATCCATTTTTTCGCTTCGAAAACTTTGACAGCGTTTTTTACAGCTTGACATCATTGTTAGTTTCGCCGTTTTGAAATGTTTATGCCGAAATGAACAACATTGACATGAATCCGATTGACGTTGTTCATTTGTCAACTTGTCACGTTCAACACAGTTTACCCATTTTTGGGTAGGTTCAGTTTTGACCGATATGAGTGGATTGTACCCAAATTTGGGTGGTTTTGAAATAACGTGCTTTGGCTGTTAGAACCAGGTAGGTGGCATCGTGTGGCATCCCTATCTTGTTGGCCTTGCCTTGAAAAGAGCTAACATCGCTGCGGACCCGCGAATTGCGGCCCCCACTGACAGCTCATAATTTGTAAACAAATAGAAGATTCAAGCCAGAATTTCAAAAAAGGCGTGACTTATATTATGGATATTCTCAATATTTTTGCTTACATTTTGTAAAAAATAAACTTAGGACTCATAAAATATTATTTTCTAATAAAACAGCAAAAAAGGTTATCTTCCATTTAATTCCACTTAATTAATTTTGGTATCCATGACAGATACGTATTTCGACTACAATGTGCAGTCTTCATCAGTGTCATTCCCACTAAAGAACTTATCAAAATCTAACCCCCTTAAGTACTCATCCCCTAGGTATAAAAGTCAAGATCACAGGTATATAAATGAAACTACAATGTGTTGAATCGGAACCTACCTAACTAATTAAAACCAAAGATTTAAGTAAGCTAAAGGAGAAAAATCTATTCAACTCTCTAATAAAGAAAATCCCAAAGGCTTGGTAGCCATCATAATGAAGTAATGAAATTGGGTTGTTAGCGGAATGCTTTAATAAAACAGCAAAAAAGGTTATCTTCCATTTAATTCCACTTAATTAATTTTGGTATCCATGACAGATACGTATTTCGACTACAATGTGCAGTCTTCATCAGTGTCATTCCCACTAAAGAACTTATCAAAATCTAACCCCCTTAAGTACTCATCCCCTAGGTATAAAAGTCAAGATCACAGGTATATAAATGAAACTACAATGTGTTGAATCGGAACCTACCTAACTAATTAAAACCAAAGATTTAAGTAAGCTAAAGGAGAAAAATCTATTCAACTCTCTAATAAAGAAAATCCCAAAGGCTTGGTAGCCATCATAATGAAGTAATGAAATTGGGTTGTTAGCGGAATGCTTTAATAAAACAGCAAAAAAGGTTATCTTCCATTTAATTCCACTTAATTAATTTTGGTATCCATGACAGATACGTATTTCGACTACAATGTGCAGTCTTCATCAGTGTCATTCCCACTAAAGAACTTATCAAAATCTAACCCCCTTAAGTACTCATCCCCTAGGTATAAAAGTCAAGATCACAGGTATATAAATGAAACTACAATGTGTTGAATCGGAACCTACCTAACTAATTAAAACCAAAGATTTAAGTAAGCTAAAGGAGAAAAATCTATTCAACTCTCTAATAAAGAAAATCCCAAAGGCTTGGTAGCCATCATAATGAAGTAATGAAATTGGGTTGTTAGCGGAATGCTTTAATAAAACAGCAAAAAAGGTTATCTTCCATTTAATTCCACTTAATAAATTTTGGTATCCATGACAGATACGTATTTCGACTACAATGTGCAGTCTTCATCAGTGTCATTCCCACTAAAGAACTTATCAAAATCTAACCCCCTTAAGTACTCATCCCCTAGGTATAAAAGTCAAGATCACAGGTATATAAATGAAACTACAATGTGTTGAATCGGAACCTACCTAACTAATTAAAACCAAAGATTTAAGTAAGCTAAAGGAGAAAAATCTATTCAACTCTCTAATAAAGAAAATCCCAAAGGCTTGGTAGCCATCATAATGAAGTAATGAAATTGGGTTGTTAGCGGAATGCTTTAATAAAACAGCAAAAAAGGTTATCTTCCATTTAATTCCACTTAATTAATTTTGGTATCCATGACAGATACGTATTTCGACTACAATGTGCAGTCTTCATCAGTGTCATTCCCACTAAAGAACTTATCAAAATCTAACCCCCTTAAGTACTCATCCCCTAGGTATAAAAGTCAAGATCACAGGTATATAAATGAAACTACAATGTGTTGAATCGGAACCTACCTAACTAATTAAAACCAAAGATTTATTCCGCTAACAACCCAATTTCATTACTTCATTATGATGGCTACCAAGCCTTTGGGATTTTCTTTATTAGAGAGTTGAATAGATTTTTCTCCTTTAGCTTACTTAAATCTTTGGTTTTAATTAGTTAGGTAGGTTCCGATTCAACACATTGTAGTTTCATTTATATACCTGTGATCTTGACTTTTATACCTAGGGGATGAGTACTTAAGGGGGTTAGATTTTGATAAGTTCTTTAGTGGGAATGACACTGATGAAGACTGCACATTGTAGTCGAAATACGTATCTGTCATGGATACCAAAATTAATTAAGTGGAATTAAATGGAAGATAACCTTTTTTGCTGTTTTATTAAAGCATTCCGCTAACAACCCAATTTCATTACTTCATTATTATTTTCTGATTTTCTACCACGAAGTCAACCATTTATATGGCATAAAAGGGAAAATAATTTCATTTGATAAAAATAAGACAATTCAGTCACGCCATTTTTGCAGTTCACACTGTAATTGTGCCGTTTCAGATGTTGGTTTCAATAACATGGCGGCATGCCACCCAGCTGGTTAGAACTGGTCATTCGAAAAAAAAAAAAAAAATAAAAGCAAAAAATAAACGAAATTTCTTTTATTTTTTCCTTTTTTTTTATATAATATGTGGAGGAAAGGGACTCTTTCGAAAACCGTGATGCGAGTTCCACTGTAATTGTCATGGCGTGACTCTTATACACAGACTTTATCAAATACAACAAATAAATCTTAACCAACAATTGAAAAGACGCTATCAGCTTTAATAAACAAAACACTGTAAGTATTTCCTCGCAGAGCGTAGGCCACCCACGCAAACCAACAATATCATCGGGTAGGGAAAACTTTCTCCTATACTATGATGCTATTGATTTGCGTGGACGATCTTTTATGCAAGAGGAAATGTCTTACACAGTTTTGTTTACATTAGCTCATAGGCCCTTTTCAATTATTGAGCGAGACATTTGTTTTTCGCAACTAATGTGTTGTACTTACAATGAGTTGCAGTAAAAATCAGGATAAAAACGATAAAAATGCCATTAAAACTTGTGTTATCGATGGTTGCGGGGCAAACTCGAAAACGAGTCCATATCTTTTCTTTTTGAAAGTACCGCAAAACCCCGAACGGAGGATCGATTGGTGCGATGCTATGGGAGTAGCAGTTCAGAAGGGCAGAGTCTACTGCTGTACTCGGCATTTCGATATCCCCGGAGACTTTGATGGCGACGCACCTTCAGATAAATCAAGTGGTATCCGGTTGAAGCTAAAAAGCCATGTCTTGCCTCATAAGGATATATCGATTCAATGTAAGTATTTTAGTTTTTCAGTTTATCAAGAATATCCTGTATTTTTTCTGCTCTGTTCTTCACTCAGTTGATAAGTTATTCACGTAATAAAATGCTTTTTTATAAATGCTGGTAGTTACCTGACATTTTATTAATCAATCGAGTGCAAGGCATGAGCCAGCAAACAGTGCATACAATTTGGATTAACAATTAATATAACTGTACTTTATGTTTTCTATTGTAGATGAAACCAGGAATATTTATCAGCTGTTTGAAATTATGAAAACCACGAAAAAAATCGAAAAACCAAACAGATATTTGCTACCGGCGATTGAACAAGATCTCAATATCAAAGTTCCTTTGAATATTAAACCTGCAACTATGAATGAAACATACGATTACGTTATCGCTAAAATCAAGGATTATTTCAAATCGGACCTTCCTAAGTCAAAATATCAGTTAGTGCAGATGTTGAAGGGCCACAGAGATAAAATTGCGGAAATGGTCAATAAGAAAAATATGAAGGGTGCTCTGCATGGTACAGTATTGCTGAAAACGGTTCAACCATTTCTTCAGTACGAAGCGAATGGAAATTTGGATTTACCAATCGGGCACAAAGAGCTAGAACAGTTATATTTCGAGTTGGAATCCAATCAAATAAAAGCTTTCTTCCGTCCACCTAAAAATGTAACATATAACAGTGATGCTGATGGTAACTTTAAAGATCTATTTTTCTTACCTGGAATACGCGTAAATTTGTCCCTTCCCTTCTTGGAGTTGGTTAGAGAAGTGGCATTGAATTCTGAAAAGTACATCGTGAATGTTAAAAGCATCCCCAAAGCTTCTGAAGGAAAACCGAATGGTTTGGAGTGGTTCCAGAAAGTGGATAAACCTTACAGGTTGAAATCTTCTAAGGTTGGTCAATATGTCACGTTGGAGTATGTAGACATCCTGATAAATCTTTTCGAGACATTTGAATTCATGATGAGTCAACGTCAAAGATCCACTTTGATATTTCTTTTGCAGCAAACAAGAAAGGATTTGTCAGAATATGAAATGAAGGAACTTCAAATCACCTACAGTTGCTTTTTGTCTAACTACAAGTACTATCGAATCATAAACGAAGACATCGCACAAGAAATTGGAGATGAGGAATTTTACATGTTTGTGAAGGAAGTAATCAATCCTGAATTGAATTTTCAGTTCATAAACGCAATCGATAGCAATGTAGCGAGCATCGACAAAATTGATCAATACTTTCGACCAATCCTTGGTTACATAAATGAGGAAGCTGGGTTTACTGACGGAGAACCGTACCTGACTTTCGCTGATCAATTGAAGAAGGCAATTAGTTACACGTGTCAGGAGTGTAACATAACCTTTGAGTCACCACTTGCTCATCTCACCGTCAAAGAACATCGATTTTGCGGTACCAAAAAGTGGAAATGTGTTCACTGTAATGCGGCGTTTTTAGAAACAAAGCTTGCTACTGATATGTGGGCTCACAAGTGTCCCTATACGTTTTGTAAATAAAGTTTACCAATAAATGAGAATATACTCTATGTGTAATTATTATTATTCAGTATATATCATCCCGGTCCCACCACTGAGTTCCCGTGCCAACAGCTGCCCTTCCCATTTGCACTCGTCAGCTCATGCAATACTCTAGACTCACATGGGTGGTTGTATGCGGGTTCTCCCCTCGATAGGCTCAAATGTCCGTGTCCATCCAGGTTCTGACGCAAATGATGCAAAGTTATCACTTCGTATATTACTACTATTACTAGGTACTGGTTTACTGGATAGGTCGCCAAGGTTGTCCCCAAGAAATCTTTATTTTATTTTTTTAATTTATCATTTTTCATGCTCAGTTAGCGCTCAACTTCCAAGCCGAGCAGTCGATGTTTTTGGACAACCAAGTTTTGGAAGTCGTTCACGGACTATTGTACGTTTATGTATCGATTATTTTCTATCGTCGTTTCAAGTATCGCGTTCGTGTTTGCAGCGACGTCATATTCCGCGATGCCGCGCCGCGAAAATACGTTTCGCGTTGACTGTTCGCGTTTCCGAAGATCCTCTCTCATGACGAGATCCATAAGTTCATCGGGAAAGAACTCGGTCTTACGCGCAAAAACGTGCTTCTACTCCAATCAAGCAGACAGCTTGGATGTACCTTCGTGAAGGTCAACAACCTCGAACTTGCCAAAAAGATCGTGGGGAAACACGATAGCAAGCACGAGTTCGTGTTTGATGGCAAGTCCTACAAACTATGGATTACGATGGAGGACGATGCGGTGGAGATAAAGTTGCTCGAACTACCCGAAAGCATCACCAACGACCCGGTCGCAGTTTTCCTCGCCGACTACGGAGAAGTTATTAGTGTTCGTGACCTAATGTGCGATGACCGATACAGTGAATTTGGTGGTGTTAATACCGGTGTTCGTGTTGCTCGAATGGTAGTAACGAAGAACATTCCTTCACTCGTGATAATCCAGGGCGAAGAAACTGCGGTTGGATACAAATAACTGCTAGTGCAGAAGCTCGTAGCGGATCAATCCTACGCTAACGTAACGAAGGGAAAACCGTCCATACCTCAACCAATGAAACAGATATCGGATCCACGAAAACCATCATCGAGCTCGACTTCAGGAACTTCGGGTTTGAAGGCAAGTCTCCTTGGAGCAAGTGAGACACGAGTTGCAGCAGCACAACGGAAAAACACAATGCCGCCACCAGCTGCACCAACTACAGCAAAACCCTCCGCAATGCAAGCTATTGTCCAACTATCGCCGCTGACAATCCCGATCGGTACCATCGTATCTCATCGCAGGACCGATGGCAACGACACGGACAGCTCACAAACATCTCTTGCTTCGAACAATAGCCGACGCACGCGTAGGCAACCACCGGGTAAGAAAATGCGACACTCCGGAGATGATATCACCTCCGAACACGAACACATCAGAGTTTCCGATGAAGAAATACAGCAATAATGGAGTACGTCAGCTGTAATATCGGAACCATAAATATAAACACCATCACCAACCAAACCAAGCTAAATGCCCTTTAAACGTTTGTTCGCACAATGGAGCTAGACATTGTGTTTCTGCAGGAGGTTGAAAATGAACAGCTTGCATTACCCGGCTATATCGTTGACCATGCGAGAAGAGGAACGGCAATTGCTCTAAAAGAACATATTAAATTCTCGCACGTAGAGAAGAGCCTGAACGGGAGATTGCTCGCCCTTCGTGTTCACAACACTACGTTTTGTAATGTGTATGCTCCATCGGGTTCCGTGCTTCGTTCCGAACGAGAGTGGTTTTTTAATAACACCATCGCGTATTATCTTCGTCACCGCACCGATCACATCATCCTTGGAGGTGACTTCAACTGCGTGATTCGACAATGCGATGCGACGGGGCTCGCTCTTCAAGTCTCCGTTCAGCAGCTACATCTGCATGACGTGTGGCAGCAGCTCCGTCAACGAGAGATGGAATACACTTACATCACACACAACTCCTTGTCCAAGCTCGATCGGCTATATGTAAGCGCCGGTCTCCAAGAACAGCTGAGATCAACAGCTGCCCATGTTTGCTGCTTCTCGGACCACAAAGCCGTCACGGTGAGAATTTGCCTTGTCGTGGTTTCTGGGCTCTTCGTCCCCACCCTGACCACAGAAAATATAGACGAGTTTCAAATACGGTGGCAATATTGGACTCGTCAACGCCGAAATTATTCGTCGTGGATGGAATGGTGGCTGTCGTGCGCAAAGCCTAAAATAAAGTCCTTCTTCTGCTGGATGTCAAAAATAGCATTCGACGAATTCAATCGTGAACAGCAACGGCTTCACGTTCTACTATGGCATGCGTACGATGGCTACCAAAACAACCGCGCTATGCTCACTATCATCAACCGGGTAAAAGCCGAAATGCTTTTAAATCAACGAAGTTTTTCCGAAATGTTTGTGCGGACGAACGAAACCTACGTTGCTGGTGAGCCGTTGTCGACCTAGGCGGTGTCGAAGGACCACCATCGAGCAACTGCAAAACAAGAGAGACGATATCATCGGTGATTCTGCTGCGATACAGGATCATATGGTCCAATTCTTCACCGATCTATACGCACACGGTCATGTGGACGAAGAAGAAGAAGAAGAAGATGGACCCTTTCAGTGCGAGAGAGTCATCCCCCAGCACGATGCCGCAAATGAAGACTGCATGAATGAGGTAACAATGGCTGAAATACTTTCTGCCATCCGCACAAGCACATCCAGAAAATCACCAGGATGGGCTGCCAAAAAAGTTTTATCTGCGTACTTTCAATGTGATACATCGTGAACTGAACCTGATTTTGACCGAAGCTATCAGGTCAAATTTCCCGAGTCAGTTCGTCGATGGAGTGATATTGTTGGTGAAGGAACAAGGTGCGGGGGACACCGCACGTTCATACAGGCCAATTAGTCTAGTCAATTATGACTATAAAATTCTCTCGCGTGTCCTAAAACAGTGACTTGAAAATGTATTCCGTGCCCATGGTGTTTTGACTGCCTCTCAAAAATGTGCAAATACTGGACGCAATATCTTCCAGGCTACGTTAGCTTTGAAAGATAAAAATTGCACAGCTGAAAGCGAACAGGCAAAATGGGAAACTGATCTCTTTCGATCTCGATCATGAATTCGATCGTGTGGACCAACGCTTCTTGTTCGATACGATGCGAGGTATGGGATTCAACCCGGCGTTCGTGGATTTGCTCTCCCATATATCAACAGCTTCTACATCTCACTTGCTTATCAACGGGCGCCTCTCTGCACCCTTCCAAATCGAACGTTCGGTCCGCCAAGGGGACCCTCTCTCGATGTATCTTTTTGAACTCTATCTGCACCCACTCTTGCGGCGTTTAGAACAAGTGTGTGGAGCAGATCTAATCGTCGCATACGCAGATGACATCAGTGCCATCGTTACCAGCGTCGATAAGCTCGATGCGATGCGGGATTTGTTCCGACGTTTTGAAAGAGTAGCAGGAGCGCGCTTGAATGAAGCTAAAACAACGGCAATCGACGTCGGCCTCATTAACAATCCGTTAACTGTGCCGTGGCTTCATACCGAAAACACCATCAAAATTCTCGGAGTTATTTTCGCCAACTCGGTGCGGGTAATGACCAAGTTGAATTGGGACCTACTCGTGACAAACTTCGCTCGGCAAGTGTGGCTACACTCGTTACGCAGTCTATCCTTACGACCATTTCGATGGAGCAGCTAGCGCGAAAACGGGAGGATGGCGGTCTCAACTTACAACTACCAGCGTTCAAGTGTGAGGCATTGCTCTCGATGATGTCACAAAAGTGAGGTTACCCCAACGGTGTAGCTCCCTATAACAGCGGTAGCGATACAATCTATCAGAGATGACATTATCCTTAACGTAGCAAAAGGGCATGTGAAATTTTTGTTTCACGAGCCAATAACGAAAGCGTCTAACGGTACGCTGGGGGTAATTAAAGTACATTTCTCGCTGTATTTAATGAAATTTAAGTACATTTCTCGCTGTACATTAATGGAGCTAATGTACTTAATTTATGCGACTTGTAATTAAAGCTGAAATTTGTACTTAAAAGTAATTATATCAAAAAATTTCCGACAAATAGATAGAGAAGCTGGTTCTGCGGTCGTGTCTAGGACACAACCCTTTGATTTTTTTTTAATTGGGTGCCCCCCTAAAAATCAAGAATTCATTTTAATTCACTGTAAACCATAGTATGTGCAGGTATGTTGAGATTTCCATAAAGTAATTATTTTAACAACCCAAAATAATGAAAACACTCTCAATTCGATAATTTTAATCATACTTTATTGTTATATTTTATTCAATTTAAAAAAATATTGTTGCTTCCTCATTATAAGAACAACACAACTTCCTAAGAATGAGAAAATTAATCATATTTGACTTTCCTGTTGTCCACTGAGTAAAAGTCTAGAACATACTTATATCGTAACACGTCCTATTTTTTTTTGGTACCGCCATCTTTATGAATTTTGTATATTGTCTCGATGATGGTCGTATACTGCCTAACTAGTTTCAGAGACGAACCAGCCCAAGGCTAAAAGTCTCTTTAATAAAGAAAAAAAAAAAAAAAAAAAAAACTGCCTAACTAAAGTTGTTATGACATTGTCGTCCGAAAGTTTTTTTTTAGGAAGTGACTACATAAACACTTTTCTAGAATAGTTGAAAACGATATCTCGCCATCTTACCCCTCGTTCGGGTGATTTTTTAAATTGGATACCCCCGTAAAAATTTAAAATCCATCGAAATTTACAGTAATCAACTTTGGGATGCGATGGGATGTTGAGATTATAATTGTGCAGTTGTTGTAAAATATATTTTGTAGAAATTTTTTGCGATAACATTTTTCTTGAACATTTGGAAATGTTATCTTAACGTTTTATATCTCATTTTGATGGTTTAAAAAAAAAAATCGCCTTAGTTCTAAACCTAAAAGCAAGGTTGCAAAGACTCATTTCAGCTAAAACAATGTTTT